GTTTAGGAAATTGATAATTTTGTAATTAACAGTGATATTTATAGGGGATTTTTCATTTGTAAAAATATTCTTAAAAAATTATCGTGTTACCATGACAATTACTTAAAATACTTCACGTTCGGAAAATAAAATGGTTTTGTCAGCAAGGCGAGGGTTTCTGCATGCATGTATTTTCTAGTTTATATGTGTTTTTGATCGGCAAAGCAACTGAACACGAACCCGTCGTTGTCCGAAGAAACTGATTTTGCCGAAGGCAAAACCCCAGGCCTAAACTTTTCATTTATATGCTTGTTTCCTAGCATGTTCATGAAAAAAGCATATACTTTTTCACTGAAACTATATTTATCACTGAAACTATTTTGTGTGTTTCTTGCCAGTTTTCTCGAGAGTTTCGTGTTTATCTTTCAACTTTTCAATTTTTGCCCGACTTGCTTTAATACATGCACAACAGCTTTCTCAAATTAGTTCGCATGAAACACAGGAATTTTAATTACTTTAATTTTACATCCTATAAAAATGTATATAGACATGTACGACATGCATTTTAGTGGCTGATCAGCCTTATTTGAAGGGAACTCAACTGAAATATGTCCCTAGTTTTATATGTTGCGTTTGGTGGTAGGCCCTATAAAATTAGCCATTTTATACCACCAAGCATTTATCCCAAAATCAAATGCTATAAAATAAAGGCGAGTTTGGGCCAAAATGTTTAGATTCTTGTTTATATCAGGTAAGAAGTTTTCCTTCTTAACCTTAACCAATAATTTTAAATCAAATTTTGTTATAACACAGTATCTGAAGGCGTTCGAAAATAATGCTGACGTCAGCACTTTTATTTTCCAAGATGCTGTAACTCATATTGCTTCAAAATGTTTGGTGAACACTCATAATAATGATATAAACAACATATAAAACGTCCATGCAGTATTGTAACTGAAATTCCTGGAAATTGGACGGAAACCTGCATAAGGCCCATTACTATTTCACATTTTTAAATGGACTCACATTTTTTTTTGTTCCAGCCAAAGCATACATTATAGAGCTTAAGATCTACGACGCGCCGGCTCAACAACGCGGTCTGAATTTCAGCTCAAGAATGAGCGCTAAGCAATTTTATTACTGTAATAAATGTTTGAAGATTTTTCGAATGACATTACAAACTGCTAAGTTCGACTAAAGCGATGCAATGTTTGCTGTAATTTCGACTTTAAGTAACACCTCTTGGGTCGCAATAAGCTTTCACGTTGCATGAAAGACTTGATAATGCTTAGTTTAACGTTGTGCTGAGCATGACAAAGCTGTTGAAAATACCCCTGGGACAACGAATTATTCACAGTTTTTGTCTTGCATGACAAATTTCTTTCTTTCGCAAGCGCGTCGTTGAGCCGGCCGCGTTGTACATCTTAAGCTCTCTATTATCAAACTTTATTTGCATCATGAAAGTACTTAATTTTCTTTTAAACAACCCTTGAGTAGCAATAATCATTGCATTCACATAAAACACCCTCACACGACTCCGAACCATTTAAATGTTGGCGTGGTTATGAACCGTGAAAATGTGCAAATAACGTAGCAGTTTGAACAACTATACGACGTACTAGAATGATCTAGGGAATACAATTTATAATCGCACTTTCTCTCAGAGTAAAATTCTACTGTTGATGATCACGTCTTCATTGACGTTGCCATTTCCCAAACTCGCTTACAACTGAATATAGTAGAGAACTGTAAAATATTATCAGTAGCGTAGCCAGCCCGACTATTTGGTCCCGCTATATGCAAATATTTTCATGTCCATTGACTGTGAAAACAATCAATTTCTAAAGAAATGAATAATGATAATAATTTTGAATTTGCATAGCGGGACTAAATTGTCGGGCTGGCTACGCCACTGAATATTATCTGTATGATATCACAAGATCTGAATAATCACTATGGGCTATTTGCATGAAGCTAAGGCGGCCTTTTTTCTCCCAAACACTGCAAATTAAACGAAATAATTTGTTTCTGAATCCCTTGAACTTAGCAGTTGAATGTCAGCTCCTTTGCAAAAGGTTCGACAATGTTACGCTCAGTGTATGTACAGTTTTTAAATTTGTGGCAATGTCATACTGTATGTCGTAAAATTCATGTTCACTGTATATATTATAATTACTCTGGCTCTTTGAGACAATCTTCAACAATTTTTTTCAGATTAGGATTCTCCATTGCAGCTGCAACTCGTTCCTTGTCGTTGATTTGTTTGTTAACTACAAAAAATCCACATAAAACATTGGTGAACTTTTCACAAACTAAGCTACAATAAGGGCAAAAGTTACCCGGGAACCGTCACACATATAACCACCCCAAGGAATCTCTAAAGACACAGGGGCGGGGGAGAGAATGAAGGTTGCTACAAAATGACCACCTTCTGTTGCCAGAAATCATAGTTCTTCAAGCCGGTTTTCCACTAGGCGGAATTTTTCTTTGCCTTTTCTAATTAGTTTCACCCGAAAAATCACGAGAATTTAAGGCCTGATTCCACGAGGCGGAATATTTCGACCGAAATTTCTCTTTGTCTTTTTACAATTAGTTCTGCTTGAGAGCTCATGAAACAAAGAGAAATTTCGACTCGGTCGAAAAAGTTCGCTTAGTGGAAAACCGCCTTAAGGCGGTTTTCCACTAGGTGAAATTTTTCGACCGAATCGAAGTTTCTGTTTGTTTGGCATGAGCTCTCAAGCAGAACCGTAATTGTAAAAAGACAAAGAGAAATTTCGGTCGAAAAATTCCGCCTCGTGGAATCAGGCCTTTAAGGCGGAATTTTTCGATCGAACCAAAATTTTTATTGTTCAAATTGAAAAGATTTCTGATTAGTTCCATCTGAGTGCTTGTAAGACAAAAGAAAATTTCGATTCGGTCGAAAAATTTCGCCTAGTGGAAAACCGCCTTTAAGGATAATTCCGCTCCACGCGCAAAATTCCGCCTAATACGAAATCGGATTTTCCCCCTTAAATTTCAAGCAATATATTGCTTATTAATCTATAGCATATACCAATCATGCTTTCATGGTCAGAAACTGATTGTTACAGCTTTGATATACAGTTATTCAATTTCAAAGGTTTTCGGGGTTTTTTGGGTTTTTTTTTTTTGTGGGGGGGGGGGGGGTTGCCCTGGCTGACTCCTTTAATGTAAAGTACTGTAGTTATTTTATCAACTGTTTACAGCATTTTTCCGCGTTGTTGATGGCTTTGCTCATGACAATGTGTGAACTATACGATGGCCTTTTGCCAACCTTGTCTTCTTTTCCTCCATTCATGCAGCATCACTCTGAACCAGTTGATTTTAAAGATTGATTTCAAGTAACTGTGTTGAAGGTGCAAACTAAAATATTTTGCCAATGCATGGATGCCAGATAATACTTTTAAGTATTATCTGGCATACATGCATTGGCAAAATATTTTAGTTATTTAGTTGGCAATTAAATATTTTAGTTTTTTAAAACTTAAAAGTTTTATCAATGGAAATTTAAGCAATGCTGCATTTTATCAAAATACAGTGCCCAAAAACAAATGCAAAAATATAAGAATGGGGCAAGTGCCCTAAGGCATTTTGACATTTTGACTTCTGACAGTTCAAAACTAATTGTATGAAGCTGTTGTCCCATTTAAATTAGTGAGTAAATTTAGAATGCGTTTCATGCATGCAAGTGACTATGAATTTGCTTTTTCATGTATATTTAATATAATTGATAAGTAATTGACAGTAAATTTTTCAGAAGCTTCAAATTGCACCCATTCTTCAAACTCGTGCACTTGATCACCTTTCAACAGGGCCGTAGCTAGACCGATAATTGGG